CTAGCTACAGTAGTTTTTTGCTTAGGCTTAGGCTCAGCCATTTCATAAACTGACAGCCAATCCTGCAAATCAGTGAAGCAAACAACTTAATTTGTCCAAAGAATAACTGCAACTAGAAAATGTTCAAAGAAAGAAAGCTTCGACTACAGTAGTCCAGACTCAGCTCTAGTCACCTCAAAAGGACAGCCAATCCTGGATTGAATGAAGTGAAGATTTGGCTGAATCCAAAACCAAAGAATGGCAATCTCCACGCTTTCTTGTACTCTTTTATACAGCAAACAGCCCGCCCATTCGTGGATTTTCAAAGAAGAGAAAAAAGATCGGGATTCCAGAAAAGAAGATCCTCCCATCTTGTAGAGGACAAGCTCTTCTTTGACCAAAGAAAGCCAAAAAATGCCCCAATCATTCAAAGTGACTTTTTGTCAGCTTTGGCGCTAATCCTCGCCCACAAATAGACTGTTTTGATTTGAAAATGGAAACTTCTTAAAAAGAAAAAACGTTTCTAATCATGGTAGACAAAGAATTTGTCATCGAGACTTACATAAAAATTGAAAATGATTGAAAAATCATCTTTAATTTCATTCGTAAAATATGGACAATACTTTTCGAGATGGCAATTTCTGGATTTGAACATTTTCATTTCGGTTTTAAATTCTCGAATTGCGTAACGCGATTATTTTCAATTGATTTTGTTCCATTTTAGTCGTTTTTAGGCAAAAATCAAGTGATTGAGGAAATTTCGAGAATTTCACCGAAAACGGAGTGCAATTGGTTCTTTTGTTGACTTTTTCAATTAAAGAAACCGGTCAAGAAGAGCTTCATAGCTTTAATAGCTTTTTGCGTCCTTGTTTATTGTTTTGGTTGAGTGATGCTTGTCTGACTTTATTGTCCAATTAAAACATTAACACTATCCACTAGGCCACCGGGGCAGACCGACTCAGCCGCGGCAATACCTTAAGTAGGCTAGCTTGCTGCTCAGCTCAGCTGAAACTTCTGGACTTATACCTCAAAAATGGCTGATAAGTAGGATTTGAAGTATCAAGGGATTTTCTGGTTGGCTTTACCCAAACCTAGCATGTCTAGGGTTAGAGCAAGTTGATCTTTTACAATCCTGACTAAGAACTCTGACACTTTGAACTCTGATACTTTAAACTAATAAAAAGACACTATTACTTTAAAGCCTTTTAAGCTTTAGCCAAGACATGGAAAGCATAGAAATCTCATTAGCCAGTTGTGTGCTTTCGAATTCCGTATCCACAACACATCAAAACTCAGTGTTTCCCCCGTATTTTGTACTTACCAAATTGGTTGCACTTCGAAGAGATTTCTCGAGGGGAAAAGCCTCTTTTCTACGTGAAAAGTCTAGGTATTTGAAGAAATTGTTAGAAATTACATTACAACAAGTAAAATTAATCAAAAATAGCTAAATTTTCGGTGTTTTTTTGAGTAGTTTTTATTGCTTAAAAAGGAGGAATTTTGGGGCGAAAAGTACGGGATTTTTTTGGGGAATAAAAAACCACAAATCAAGCACGAACACACGAACTTATCCAATTTTCATGCTTTTGTGCTCATTCGATGCGGGAGAAAGTTTTCTATCAATTGACATCGAAATCACGTAATTTCGGGAGGTCTATGCAAAGTTAGAGAAAAAAAATTACTTTGTACACCTATGGATTATTGCAAAAGCTAGAAAAATTGCAATATTTGACTAGAATTTGACTACAATGACTAGATGATTTTTTTTCGGGCTTGCGAGGGAATTGTGTTCGCGTTTTTTCCGGGGGAAACATTTAATTTCCGCGTTCACAAGTCACAAAAGAATGGAAAGAATGGAAAGAATGTGAAGGTGGATGGGGAAAATAGCAAAAAATGAGATCAACTTTTTTTTCCGTTTTCGATACAAATGCTAGGCGGTGAACTATGGTTTGCATTGGAAGGGGATTTAGAAATTCACTGTCATCTAAAGGGTTCAATGGTTGCCGTAAGCTATCAAAGGAAATCCATTGTGATCCCTGAAAGATGAAAGCTTTACCTTAACCCGGCTAGAAGATCTACCGTATCCTCTGAAGAGTTGAAACTCTATCTTATCCTCCCAAGAGTCGAAAATCTGTGGAAAGATGAGTGATTCAATCCGGCTATAATACTGTACTCTTTCAAGGTGGAACAGCTACCGTATCCATTCCATATCCAGCCAAAAAACTACCCAAACCGTAACCCCAACCAAATACTCGTAACTTCTAAACAATAGAAACACTACCGGAACCCTAGACTAAAAAAAGCAAAACATTCCCCAATTTGTAGCTAATTTTGCAAAAGAACTGATTTCCCAAAAGGATTTTTAATGAAAAAATAATTTTTTGCAGAAATCATTAACAAAACACAGAGATATCTTGGTGACAAGTTTTAAGCCTCTTTACTTAAGTTCATTTTTTGCAACGGAGCCAACTAGAGGCATGGCGCATCGCTAAAGCTATCGGGTCCAAAGATCTCTGGTTCAATCCCCTTCTCGGTCAACTTCTGTTTTGTCCCGACTCTAGGATCTCTAGCCAGCTAGACAAGGCAAAACAGAGGTTTAAGCTTCGGCTTAGAAACTAGAGTTGTGCAAGGAAAGGCTAGGAAGAATCAAAAAGCCATATCTAAGCCTGACTTTCGTCTTTTTTAGGCTTAGAATAAGATCATTCTAGTCTAGCCTAGGACCCTTGACTGATTTTGATCTTCCCTCGGGCTCGGGTCTGAGAAAATGTTTGGGAACACTTTGTGAGCTTCTTAAGTCAAAATTGGCATTGAATTGTGTTTGAAATGAAAAGAAAACTCTCTAAACTTTAGCCTATCATCTAAGCAAATTGGTAAACTTTGGTCTCAAAATGGAACTTTTTTTTGGATTCATTTTCCTCCTCAAAAACAAATCATTTATTTTGTTTTGCTTGCTTCAAACTTTCCCACTCTTATTCAAAGGCTGTGAGAGAAGTTTAGGTTCAAATTTTCGAATTTAAAATATTACTCGCTTCGCGGAATTGAAAGTTTTTGATGAAAAAAATGTGAAAGTCAGGTTCGAAATTGCTTAAATTCATCAAACCTCACTCATAAAATCATCAAAATTCACTGTCTATCTTTTTTTGTTTTCTGTACTCAAAAAATTCTGCTTTGATTGAGTTCCGAATCGAAAATCCATCCTTTTTCTTCACTTTTTCCTTTTTCCGCCCACAAAGAGGATTAAAATATAGAAGAAAATTTTCTTTATAAGCTGTACCCATACATACAGTGATCCACAAAAGTATTGTCCCATTGATGTTTTCCTTGATTATTCTTTTTATTTTCGCGTTCTATGAACATTAAATGTATTTTATTTTATTATTTAGATGGCTGGCAAGAAACATCTTGACACTCCGAAGAAGCTCCGAATCGCCAAGGCCCGGGAAAATGCGATGCGGGAAAAGGATGTGGCCAACCTGTTCAATTGCTCGATAAGGACGGTGCGCCGCATTTTTTCTCAATCAAAAGTCGACCGAAACCTTCATCGAGGCCTCAAGAGTGGCCGACGACCAATCACAACCACAAAAGAAGATCGAGCCGTGATCCAAATGGTGAAAAACGATCCTAACAAAACACCAACCGATGGAAGCCAAATGATGAGGGATCAATTTAACAAGGTTATATCACCGGAAATGATCAGACGACGATTATCATGGTGCATTATATGCAAGAAGGGCTGCCCGTAAACCTCTGATAAATTCTGAGGACCAGAAGCAGCGTCTTGACTTTGCACAGACCTACCGAAGTTGGACGACACGGACGACAGGTTAATGAGAGTTACTTTGTTCTGTCATCTTTGATCTGAACTAACCCAGCTAACAAACAGCTAAAAAAACAAACTTTGGACACATCCTGATCTTATTCTAGAACTAGTTTTATTGATCTATGCTTGTTTTTCTAAAGATAGGTCAATTCTAATAAAAATTCTAAGAGATTCTAAAGAACTTCTAAGGAACTTGTTGACTTGAATCATAGTTTGAAATGGATTTTCTGTCCCTGTCTTTAAGAGATCATAAGTAATGCCTAGGCTGATTTGATTTAAAATTAGAAACCATTCTACATAGTTTATACAATAGTTTATATTATTTCTTTTAGTTTAGTTGAAGTGGCAACAACTAGATAGGTTTTAACGCTCAAATTTACTTTTTTAAGCGCGAGTTTAGCCAGCTAGACCAGATGAACCTATTTCTAATCAATAAAGTCGATTCCAACTTGTAAAGCTTTCCTTTATGAGCTACACGGACTCCAATACACTCCAAAACACTCCAATACACTCCAAAGAACGGACTGTAATGCAAAAATTGATTGTGAATGGTTTAAAATGTGTATTTCGACAAGTAATAGCTCCATGCTTTCGTCAAAAGACAGCAATTCTTGTTACGAATTTTTTGAGTTCAAAGAAACAAATTGATCTTTTACTATGGCCTCTTACAAGCTTCTCAAAAAAAATAAGAATTGATCCTGCTTACAGAAAAAATAGGCACTTATAGGTCCTCGTTGACTTTTGGAGATATGGATTACCGTTATTTTTGTTCAGCAAAACCCGAATTCCTTGTAATTACTGTGCTTTGAATCTTTGAAAATAGATCAAATACACATTTATTTACAGACAAAGTACATAAATCAACGGTTTTTTTTTTCATTTCAAAACATCGACGATCACAAAAACATCACTTTTCTTTGAGCGGAATCGGAAAAGTATAAAAAAACCCGTGCAAGTACAAATGGCAATGCTCTAGAAGAAAATAACAATCTGATTAAAGTAGATTGTAAAATTGGACGAAAGGAGGAATGGGCACTTTGTTTAAGGCAAATTGGAATAAGATGGGCAGACACAGATTGAAATGAATGATGTTGGACTCACGAATTAGGCTTGGAAGTGAGTAAGCTTAACAAGGAGGCTATTTGATTGATGATTTTAAGGAAAGAAGTTGGAAATGTGAAGGATTTTGTTTGAATTCAGTTTAGAACTGGCTGTCAACTGGAGCACGTCGTCGGGTTTTTTGGTGAGTACGGTTGTGACGGGGTTTGCTCGGTTGATGGGCATCTGTAGAGCGAATCACATGGAATCTCGGGACCTCAGCGCCTAGAAATTGGAGATGAGTAAAGTATAGATCAAATCCGATTATCAGCCGGTTAACAGCTGGAGTTGGGTTAAGTTTGATCCAGTTTATCTTAGCCTTATTTAGTATCAATGAGCTGATAAAATGAAGGAGTTGGCAAGGAAAAGTTGTTAAAAATCTACCTATCTACCTATCAAACCTATCAATGACTATCATAGCCTTCTTGAATGATAAAGAAATGAAGGAACTGTCAAGAAAGAGATTTCCGTAAGATAAATGAATTCATTTAAAAATCTACCTTTTGGCAAAAGACATCCGAGACTCGAGAAGAAGCACATTCGGTCGTAAATTGTTGGGATTGGGTGAACGATTTTGAACTGGGAGATTTGATTCTCTTCTGATTTCGATTCTTCCGAGCTTGATGATTGGACTGCGCGTTTGTGATGATGGGATGGTTTGCTGGAATTAGAAAAATGAATAAAACTATAGCTAGCTAATAGGAAAATACTTAAAAGGCAAGTATGCCAGCTCTGGTTTCCTTCAAAATCTCCATTTACTCACCAATTGCTCGATTGGAAGAGAGCGACGAAAATGAGTGAAAAGAGGAAAATTTGGAGTCCGGACATTGCTGGAAAATCTGGAAATTTGGCGGATGAGTGGGAAATTTGGAAAAGGAAGACACAAAAAAACGTTCAAAAGCAGAAGTTTTTGCAAAAGATAAAGTCCAATCTTTCGAGAAAATGTGGATTATAACTTGAGAATTGCAAGAAGTAATGCTTAATGCAAAATGGCACTGTAGCAAAGAGTGAAGAAGGAGTCTAGATTTTGAAAAGTGAAATCCGGCGTTCAGAATTTGGGAAAGAAATAGGGAAAAGATCGACCTATATACCGGAAATTACTCGAGAGGGAAACCGCCTCTTTTTTTCCGATACCATACTTTTCTGGTCACACCCCCTGGTCAAAAAATAAGGAATCTGTAGTCATAAAAGCGAATAATACAAAGATCCCCTGAACGGGTCAAATGCGATTGGTCAAATAAAGCCCAGTACTCAGTAAATCTACAGGATAACGACAGTACCCAGTTACATTTAACAAAGAAAACACTAGAACAGTTCCCGAAAGAAATTATGGATCAGGGAGACTCAAAGGGAACGAATAAGCCTTAGCAAACAAAGTTACTGTAGTCTAGCCACAATAGTTTTTTTGCTTAGGCTTAGGCTCAGCCATTTCTTAAACTGACAGTCAATCCTGCAAATCAGTGAAGCAAACAACTTCATTTGTCCAAAGAATAACTGCAACTAGAAAATGTTGAAAGGAAGAAAGCTTCGACTACAGTAGTCTAGACTCAGCTCTAGTCACCTCAAAAGGACAGCCAATCCTGGATTGAATGAAGTGAAGATTTGGCTGAATCCAAAACCAAAGAATGGCAATCTCCACGCTTTCTTGTACTCTTTTATACAGCAAACACCCCGCCCATTCGTGGATTTTCAAAGAAAAGAAAAAAGATCGGGATTCCAGAAAAGAAGATCCTCCCATCTTGTAGAGGACAAGTTCTCCTTTGACCAAAGAAAGCAAAAAGATGCCCCAATCATTCAAAGTGACTTTTTGTCAGCTTTGGCGCTAATCCTCGCCCACAAATAGACTGTTTTGATTTGAAAATGGAAACTTCTTAAAAAGAAAAAACGTTTCTAATCATGGTAGACAAAGAATTTGTCATCGAAACTTTCGCAAAAATTGAAAATGATTGAAAAATGATTTTCAATTTCATTTGTGAAATATGGACAATACTTTTCGAGATGACAATTTCTTGATTTGAACATTTTCATTTCGGTGTTAAATTCTCGAATTGCGTAACGCGATTATTTTCAATTGATTTTGTTCTATTTTAGTCGTTTTTAGGCAAAAATCAAATGGTCGGGCAATTTTCGAGAAATTCACCAAAAACAAAGTGCAATTGGTTCTTTTGTTGACTTTTTCAATTAAAGAAACCGGTCAAGAAGAGCTTAATAACTTTAATAGCTTTTTGCGTCATTGTTTACTGTTCTGGTTGAGTGATGCTTGTCTGGCTTTATTGTCCAATTAAAACATTAACACTATCCACTAGGCCACCGGGGCAGACCGACTCAGCCGCGGCAATACCTTAAGTAGGCTAGCTTGCTGCTCAGCTCAGCTGAAACTTCTGAAAATGGCTGATAAGTAGGATTTGAAGTTTCAAGGGATTTTCTGGTTGGCTTTACCCAAACCTAGCATGTCTAGGGTTAGAGCAAGTTGATCTTTTACAATCCTGACTAAGAACTCTGACACTTTGAACTCTGATACTTTAAACTAATAAAAAGACACTATTACTTTAAAGCCTTTTAAGCTTTAGCCAAGACATGGAAAGCATAGAAATCTCATTAGCCAGCTGTGTGCTTTCCAAATCAGTATCCACAACACATCAAAACTCAGTGTTTCCCCCGTATTTTGTACTTACCAAATTGGTTGCACTTCGAAGAGATTTCTCGAGGGGAAAAGCCTCTTTTCTACATGAGAAGTCTAGATATTTGAAGGAATTGTTAGAAGTTTTTAGAAATTGTTAGAAATTGTTAGAAATTCTTAGAATTTACATTACAACAAGTAAAATTAATCAAAAATAGCTAAATTTTCGATGTTTTTTGAGTAGTTTTTATTGCTTAAAAAGGAGGAATTTTGGGGGAAAGTACGGGAATTTTTTGAGCGAATAAAAAAACTGCAAATCAAGCACGAACAGCTGCTTATCACTACTGTAAAATCTGAAAAAAAAACATTGAAAAACTCCCAGATCTAATTTAAAAAATCACATCAGAAAATGGGAAATTCTTGGTACATTCTTGGTACTTTTTTCTTTCTCAACCCAACTTTTGTGTTTTGGCCTTGAAATTCACGCGTACAAAATGGGCTAAACTTTGTAATTTTTCAGGTGAATCTTTGAATGAATAATCCCTTCAACCACGCTAAGAAATGTGGGGGTTTTGTGACTGAAAAATGTGCGATTTCGGAAACTCCATCAACTCCATAGTTATACAAGTGTTTTTGGCTATAACTTTTCCAAAACTTATCCAATTTTCATCCTTTTTTGATCATTCGGAGCGGGAGAAAGTTTTCTATCGATTTGCAATAAAATCACGTAATTTCGATAAGTCTATGCACATTTATAGCAAAATAAATTACTTTTTACACCTATGGATTATTGCAAAAGCTAGAAAAATCGCAATATTTGACTAGAGTCTGACTACAATGACTAGATGATTTTTTTTGGGGTTCGCAAGGAAATTGTGATTGCGTTTTTCCGGGGGAAACCTCTAATTTCCGCGTTCACAAGTCACAAAAGAATGGAAAGAATGTGAAGGTGGATGGGGAAAATAGCAAAAAATGAGATCAACTTTTTTTTCCGTTTTCGATACAAATGCTAGGCGGTGAACTATGGTTTGCATTGGAAGGGGATTTGGAAATTCACTGTGATCTAAAGGTTACCGTAAGCTGTCAAAGGAATTCCATTGTGATCCCTGAAAGATGAAAGCTTTACCGTAACCCGGCTAGAAGATCTACCGTATCCTCTGAAGAGTTGAAACTCAATCTTATCCTCCCAAGAGTCGAAAATCTGTGGAAAGATGAGTGATTCAATCCGGCTATAATACTGTACTCTTTCAAGGTGGAACAGCTACCGTATCCATTCCATATCCAGCCAAAAAACTACCCAAACCGTAACCCCAACCAAATACTCGTAACTTCTAAACAATAGAAACACTACCGTAACCCTAGACTAAAAAAGGCAAAAAATTCCCCAATTTGTAACTAATTTTGCAAAAGAACTGTTTTCCCAAAAGGATTTTTTTTGCAGAAATCATTAACAAAACACAGAGATATCTTGGTTACAATTTTTAAGCCTCTTTACTTAAGTTCATTTTTTGCACCGGAGCCAACTAGAGACGTGGCGCATCGCTAAAGCTATCGGGTCCAAAGATCTCTGGTTCAATCCCCTCCTCGGCCAATTTCCATTTTGTCCCGACTCTAGGATCTCTAACCAGCCAGACAAGGCAAAAAAGAGGTTTAAGGTTCGGATTGGAAACTAGAGTCGTACAAGGAAAGGCTAGAAAGAATCAAAAAGCCATATTTAAGCCTGACTTTCGTCGGATCCTTTTTCAGGTCTAGAATAAGATCATTCTAGTCTAGCCTAGGACCTTTGACTGATTCTGATTTCTTTGACTGATGACTGATTTTGATCTTCCCTCTGGCTCGGGTCTGAGAAAATGTTTGGGAACACTTTGTGAGCTTCTTAAGTCAAAATTGGCATTGAATTGTGTTTGAAATGAAAAGAAAACTCTCTAAACTTTAGCCTATCTTCTAAGCAAATTGGTAAACTTTGATCTCAAAATGGAACGTTTTTTTGGATTCATTTTCCTCCTCAAAAACAAATCATTTATTTTGTTTTGGTTATTTCAAATTTTCCCACTCCTTATTCAAATGCTGTGGGAGAAGTTAAGGTTCAAATTTTCGAATTTCGAATTTCAAATATTACTCACTTTGCGAAATTGAAAGTTTTTGATAAAAGAATGAAAAAATGTGAAAGTCAAGTTCGAAATTGCTCAAATCCATCAAACGCCACTCATAAAATCATCAAAATTCATTGTCTATCTTTTTTTTTTTGTTTTATGTACTCAAAAATTCTGCTTTGATTGAGTTCCGGATCGAAAATCCATCCTTTTTCTTCACTTTTTCCTTTTTACTCCCACAAAGAGGATTAAAATTTAGAAGAGAATTTGAAAAATTTGAGAGATTTTCTTTATAAGCTGTACCCATACATAATTAATTGGGGAAAAACAAATAATGGATAGGAAAAATATTTAAATACTGAAATGATCTTTATTTTACAGCAAAAATGATTTCCTATTCAGTGATCACGGAAATTTTATGGGGAAATTTTTGAATGAAATCGTTTTCTGAAAAGATTTAACGGTGTTGTGGAGAATCGAGATTCACAAAGAATTCACCAAAACTTCTTCTTGTTTGAAGCTTCTTGAAGGCAATTCAAAGTCTGACTTGGATTCTTTTAAGCTTTTCAGCTTTTCAACCTCTTTCAACCGCTTCGCTTCGCTTTTCAACCTTTCAGTGTGTTCATGGTGTACACTAAGTTCCGCTTTGCTAGACACATTTGTACAAAATAGATTTACTATCTCTGTAGCTGAAGACTGTTTGACTGGCTCTGATTGATTATTTGTGTAAAAGAAAAACTGAAAAACTAAGATACTGACTGAAGATCTGGCCTAAAAACCTATGCTAAACTTACTAGGAAACTAACTAACTGACTTACTATTTGCTTTTATTTACTTTTTTTTTGTTTTTCTTGGTTCTGTCTTTGATCTGATCTAATCCAGCTAACAAACACCAAACAAACAAACTTTGGACACATCCTGATCTTATTCTAGAACTAGTTTTGTTAATCTATGCTTGTTTTTCTAAAGATAAGTCAATTCCAAAGAAAGTTCTAAGAGATTCTAAAGAACTTGTTGACTTGAATCGTAGTTTGAAGTGAATTTGCTGGCAATGTCTTTAAGAGATCATAAATCAGGCCTAGGCTGATTTGATTTAAAATTAAAATCCATTCTAC